GAAGTCAAGTGATCCGCAGAATAGCACTAATGTTGTCATTACGGCTAAAATGTTTATCGATTGCAGTTATGAGGGCGACCTCATGGCCAGGGCTAACATCTCATACACTTTAGGTATTAATAAGTTTGAATTATCTTATTATAAAAATAATGTTTAAATTTCCACATTAAAGGCCGAGAAGCCAACGCTGTGTACAATGAAAGTCATGACGGCGTACAGATGTTATCGGGTCATCAGTTTCCCGATGGTATCGATCCGTATGTAATCTCCGGTAATAAATCCAGTGGTTTATTGTGGGGAATAAGTAGCGAAACTGTTGCTAAACAGGGAACGGGAGATAAAAAGATACAAGCTTATAATTATAGAATATGCCTAACAAATAATAAAAACAACCAAATAGACATAACTAAGCCGGATAACTATAATCCCGAATACTATCAACTTCTTGTACGTCTAATCGAGAAACTCAAACCTAAATCCATCAGAAGTTTTATGATCGAGAGTGTAATGCCTAACCAGAAAACTGATATTAATAATTACGGCGGTTTTAGTACTGATATGATTGGTATGAATTATGAATACCCGGACGGCTCTTATGAAACCCGAAATAAGATTATTAAACAACACGAAGACTACACCAAAGGATTCCTATATTTCGTAGGACACGACCCACAAGTGCCCCAACCCTTGAGGGACGAGATGTTGACGTGGGGTTACCCTAAGGATGAGTACAAAGACAACAACCATTGGACGCATCAGTTGTATATCCGAGAGTCGCGGCGAATGAGTGGTCAGTATATGATGACTGAGAGGAATGCTTTGGGCACTGATGTGGTCAGCGATGGTATAGCTATGGCTTCGTATAGAATGGACTCACATAACGCTGAAAGGGTTGTAGTGAACGGAATGGTCAAGAATGAGGGGGACGTCCAATGGCCTAAGAATCTTCCGCATCCATACCCTGTGTCCTATCGATCAATAGCACCAAAACCAAGTGAAAGTAACAACGTTTTAGTGCCGGTGTGTCTGTCGGCCACACATATAGTGTACGGATCCATACGAATGGAGTACACATTCATGGAGTTAGGAGAGGCCTCAGCTGTGGCCGCAGTCATGGCTATCGACACAAACACTTCCGTACAAGAAGTCGATACCAAACAGTTGAGAGACAAACTCAATATTCATTAGTTTGTAACGAAATTATAGATTTATAAAAATAAATTTGTAAATACGATACAGTATTTAAATTCAATTTACAATAAATTATTAAAAATAGAGTCAATGAATGAATGAATAAAAGTTTTAAAAATTACAAACAAATTGCTTCTCAAGTCTTAATTCTGGAACAACTGGACATTGACTTCGGGAACAATGAAATACTCGACGAAACAGTGCTCGACATCCAAGTGATCCATGAGTTTAACCATAAACTGCAGACTCAGGAGTCCGTCGGCGTCGGTCCGGATCGACAGTTTGGACGAATGGATGAGCGCTTTGAGGGAAAACTTCATTAAAGACATCCGATATTTGTTTTCGATGTCTTCCGAGTGGAGGAACTGCTCGACAGCAGGACTGTCGCGATGGATGTTATGGTTAACCCGCGCCCTCTCACTCTCAGTGGTCCACCGCATGTATGGCTCGCCGGCAGTGATGGACACCTCGATGTACTCACTCGTGAGGTCTGCGCTCTTCCAGAAGTCCACAATTGGCTCCACATTTAGGATCACTTTATTCGTCGAATTCATGCCGAAGATCATGAGGTCTTCGACGCCATACGTCTTGATGTAAGCCTTGGTTTCAGTGGTCTCTTCGCGGAACTGAAGACGAATTCTGTCGGAATTAGACGAGTATTGGATGCGAAACGTGTTGTCCGACAGCTGTGGGGCCGCCGATGACGCCGTCCAACCACTGGAGCCCAAGACTGTGAGCACGTGAATGAGGTCTGAGAGCCGGAAGCAGACACTGACCGGCGATTCCTCCGAAGACATGTAGTATCGCGTGAAGAGCGAGCGGTCGATGAAACTGTTGGCCTGAAGGCATCGGCTGCTGTCCTGACACGTCAGCTTCAGACCCCTTCGAGTGATGGCCATCACTGTTGTCTTCATGATCTCAATGGACCGCAACATTGGGATCAACTTCTTCGGCTCACAGATCTCCGCCTCGAAACGAAACTCGTCTTCAGATCCACTCGTTTGAGACATCGATGACAGCAACGGATGAGTTGATGGCTGTATGAGTGGTGAGTGGAGTGCAGATCACAATGCAATCCAATTGATCCCAAATCCGACACCAATTGTCTCGAAAACAACACAACTTTTGCCGCACTATTGCTCTCGCATTGGGTTTGCATTCAATACAATGCACTTACGGTTTGTGTCACACGTGTTGTCGTCTTTTGTATATTAACTTACATTTTATAAATCATTTGAAATCAGAAATTAATAAATAATTAATACAATCATTCAACCTTGATATAATTCAATAATTAACTTATTTCTGTATTTAATAATTATATATAAAACCATTAAAAATTAAATATAATAAAACCGTAAGTAGACTGTATTGCCATAACGACAACAGTTGTCTATTTGGCGCTACTTTTAAATTCATTGATAACCCCATAAATACTGTGGAGTGAATGGGGCTATACATGCAGTACGTACTGTGGGTGAAGGGGAAGGGGTTTCAATTAATTAAAAATTACAATTAGTTGTATTAATATAATAAACTTTTTTGAATTCAATATTTGATTTCAAAATGTTTTCATTTAATTAAAACTCTCATTCAATGGTAGCGTTAATGCCTTGACTCGAGTTATATAATGTCAGCGAAGGTGAGTGGAGTGCAGATCACAATGCAATCCAATTGATCCCAAATCCGACACCAATTGTCTCGAAAACAACACAACTTTTGCCGCACTATTGCTCTCGCATTGGGTTTGCATTCAATACAATGCACTCACGGTTTGTGTCACACGTGTTGTCGTCTTTTATATATTAACTTACATTTTATAAACCATTTGAAATCTGAAATTAATCTATAATTAATACAATCATTCGACCTTGATATAATTCATTAATTAACTTATTTCTGTATTTAATAATTATATATAAAACAATTAAAAATTAAATATAATAAAACCGTAAGTAGACTGTATCGCCATAACGACAACAGTTGTCAATTTGGCGCTACTTTTAAATTCATTGATAACCCCATAAATACTGTACAGTGAATGGGGCTATACATGCAGTACGTACTGTGGGGAGGGGAAGGGGTTTTAATTAATTAAAAATTAAAATTAGTTGTATTAATATAATAAACTTTTTTGAATTCAATATTTGATTTCAAAATGTTTTCATTTAATTAAAACTCTCATTCAATGGTAGCGTTAATGCCTTGACTCGAGTTATATAATGTCAGCGATTGTCATATATTTGGCACAAATCAGTGTTCTTTACGTCCAGTGCCTGAGTGGCCGTCCATTTGGTTTCGACGACGACTTCCCTCCCTTCCGAAAGGCCGATGGCTTTGACTTCACACTCAAACCCATCCCTGACATGAGTCTGAGTCCGATCACGGAGTTCACGCTCATCACAGTCAACGTGACCGCCAGCCCTCCCTTGCCCTTCACTATCCCCTACAATACGGTACAACTTTTTCCAAACTTTTTTGTGTCATATTCTGTATCAGTGTTGAGACAATTCATTAATTTTTAAATATATTTCCATATAAAAGATGACACCAAAGGAAACGGATTTGGATGTAAGGCCGAGACCATTGAAAGTGATGGACAGGCCCTTTGAGATACCAGATGTTAAATTGGGATCAAAACAGCCCAATTGGGATATGAACATGGTTAATTTATTATTAAATAACTGATGTACAAATAAATTATATCCAGTATTTTCTTAATAGGATTTAACGGTCAGACAGAGAAAGCCTAAACTGTCGGTCCCTCCAGAGCCGACCACCACTCCGATGATGACCACTGAGAAGGAAACAGAAGTCCAGAGATTGAGGAAAATAATTAAGAAATTGAGATCAAAGTTAACAGACTCTGAAGACGAGATCTCGAGGTTAAAGGCTAAGACATGTGCACCCAATGAGCATACGATGACTACTGAACCCATGCCTAGAGTCAGTCCCACAAAGAAAGTTAAGTGTTTGTCGAAAAAGCCCACGAAAAGGACCAAAAAGTATAAAGGTCCTAAAATGATGACTACAGTTGAATTGTATGAACAGTCGTCAACCCAGGAAAGTCCTAAAACAACTACTACTACTACTACCACCACCACCACTACCACCACTACTGAATCAGAATATGATATATTGACAGAAACAGATGAATCGTGCACTAAATCATCCAAAAGTAATATGAATTGTTAATTTGAAAACATTAAGAATTTTATTACAATTGATTACAGGAAAAAAGGGTTTCTTACAAATATTGACGACTGAGTCTTCGAGACAATCCCCAGAACCAGAACCCGAAGACAATCAAAATAAAGTCAAGAAATCCAAGACATTAGAAGAACCTTCAGAAAAGGTTACAAAAGATAAGTCAATGACCACAACAGCTAAAAGCATAACAACTGAATCTCACGAACCTTTGACAACAACGCCTAAAGGTTTGAAAATGAGAGCATCACCTGAAGAGCCTGAAGAATACCAGGTATGTATGAGTTTACAATTAAACATAAATTAAGTACAAATGCGATTAAAAACATTGACATTTCTTCGACTCCACCATCTATTGAATCAAATAAATTTCAGAAACAGTTAAAGACGAAAATCATCGAAACTGAAGAGTTTGAAGAAGACGTGACCGAAAAAGCTAAATATGTAGTCTTCTATTCGGACACAGAGTCGACCACAAGATTAATAAGAATTGATGATAATATGAGTACAGAATGTCAAACGGAAAATGATTTGACGAAATCAGCGGAAGGCAAGGAATCGGACGAGACTTTCTCTAACTTATCAAAAGCCACGGAAATGGGTACTGAGTCTAAGAAGTCTGCGAAACATCGTCTGAACAATGGATTTGCGAGTCCAGACATACCTGTAGACGACACTTCAGATGAATCATCACAAACCACAGCAAAGAGAACTAATTTGGTTACTATAGCGGCATCAATGGTCAGAGATATGATAACAGAATCAGACGAGTCATACACTAAATCATCAAAAGGTAATGTGTTTTTCGATGTTAGGGATAATCTGAACAATTTTTATTTAAATGTTCAGGATCCCGAGAAATACCTTTGACTCAGATTCAGGGTCAGTTCCAAGTATCTCATGATAAGCAATTGCATGCGATTGGGAAATGGCAACAAGAGTTTGAAGAAGAGGACACTAGAAAGGCAAGCGGTTTAGTGGTCTCTTCAGACAATGAGTCCCGTAAACCATCAATAAAGGATACATCAGTTAACAGATCTGATGGCAGTGGAGATGGATCAAAGTCATCATCAGATGTCAACCCAAATGCAATTCAGTTCCAAAGTCAAGTACAGAGAACTGATGATGTGATCAGCGAAAGGACTGTATATAAGAATGGTTTGTATGAATTCATAATAAGAAGTATTTACGAGAAACTCAAGAAACAAATGCTTAATACGCCTGAAGCCAAGGATCATAATGTATTGGATTTATTGGATAACCCGTTAATCACATCCGATAATCAAACCGTAAGAATGGCAGCAATTGAGTCGCTCATTGAAAAGACCAATTCAGAGGACATTAATCGAATGTCAAGTCCAAAATCTGGTGATAATGTCGACAATTTGACTAAATTTATTAGAGATGCTGTCCAAGAGTTTAACAAAAGTTTTACCGAAGATTCAATTGAACAGTATGGACGCACTCCTGAGAAGGGATTAGCTGAACAAAATCTGGTGATAATGTCGACAATTTGACTAAATTTATTAGAGATGCTGTCCAAGAGTTTAACAAAAGTTTTACCGAAGATTCAATTGAACAGTATGGACGCACTCCTGAGAAGGGATTAGCTCAAGTATCTCCAGACAATGATTCGCCCAACCCATCAATAAATGGTAAATTAATTGCCAAATCTGATGGGAGTGAAGACGGATCAATGTCACCATCTGATGTTAACTCGAGTGTAAGACCGGTTCAAAGCCAAGTCCAGAGAACTGGTGAAGTGATCAACGAAAAGGATGAATACAAGA